GTAGGCTTTCGTGACCTTATTGCCTTTAACAAAGCAATGCTGGGAAAACAAGCATGGCATCTATTGCAAAATCCTTCCTTGCTATGAGGCCAGCTATTGAAAGGCCTTTACTTTCCACACTCGGAATTCTGGTTGGCGGGGAAGAGGTATCGTCCTTCGTGGGGTTGGCAAAGCATTTTAATGGAAAGAGATGCAATTCTTCCTACAGTGAGAAGGGCAGTAGGGAATGGAGAAAAGATTAACATTCGAGAGATGAAATGGTTGCCTAGGGGAGAAATTGGAGGACCAGCAAATAGGAAGGAACCGACAAAGGTTTCTGATCTTATTTGCAGGGATATCCTGGCTTGGAATGAACAAATTATTATGAACATGTTTGATGAGAGTACAGCCAATGAAATCCTCACAATTCCATTGGATCCGCAAGAGAAAGAGGATAAATTGGTCTGGACAAACACTAGATCGGGGGAGTATATAGTAAAAAGCGAACACAACAAGATCAGAGAGACTGGAGAACAAAGCAGCTCGGGCATAGCCTCAACTTTTCATCAATTCCCTCGTGCTCTCTGGACTGAGATCTGAGAGGCTGATACAAGCCCAAGGATCCATTCTTTCCTTTGGGGACTATGCCAGAATGCATTGCCGATAAAGGTAAACCTAGTCAAACGGGGTATAGTGGAGGACAGTACCCGTGATTTATGCAAGCAACACCCAGAGACCGCGGAGCACCTCTTCTTGCTCTGTCCTTGGACTTGTCAACTTTGGCAGGACCCTGCAATACAGATACACATCTCACCTTATGGCCTTGGCCATATCGACGAATGGCTATTACGATTCAAACATACCTCAACGAGTTTCAGCCTTCTAGCTACAGTCCTTTGGCAGATCTGGAAGGAGAGAAATAACTCTGTTTTTCGCAATCAAAAGCCAAACCCAAAGAACCTAGTTAGCTCAGCCATGGCGGAAAATCAGTGCTTCATTAATTGGGCTAGCTTGAAGAAGAAGGCGAAAGAATCTGAAAACCCCTTACCTCATATCTGGAAAGGCCCGGTCGGAGAATCCCTCAAAATTAATATCGACGGATCTTTTCTACCGGGAACGATGGAAGGAGCTATCAGCTATCAGGGTCGCGGATTGGATAGCAAATTCTCTTAGGATTGGGTCTCTTCCTCTTAATTGGTTATCAAGCCCACTGGAAGCCCTATGGGCCTTACTTTGTTATGATTCGTGCCTTTTGTTCTCAAACTCTTTCAGGCGATGCAATCGTTTTTCTTTTCCGACCAAAAAAAAAAATGGCATCTCATATTTTTTCCACGAAATGACCAAAACTTGAGAGGCCAGCGAAAAGTCCATTGCCCATCTTTCACTTGACGAACATAAGTCATTCTCCATTGCTAGTCCTCGAATCATAAAAAAAAACAAAAGATCGTAATCATCCATTGGAAATATTTTCAGATTTTTTATATCATTATATTGTTATATTTAAATATAATGATACAATATATGTGATTACGATAAATTACAAACAAGCACGAATCCCTTGGGAACTATAGAAGTTTCAAGAGAAGAATTTATAAGGTGAACACGACAGAAGAGATTAAAAAGACTAGTGGTACTAGAGAGACAACTGCTAATTAGGTTTGGGCCAACAACGTGACTGCTGAATTCGTTGCACTCCATATCCTCCTAAGAGCACTAATCTCCATTTCCACCTAGTGACGAGTGACGACCATGGTTCGAGTTTAGGATAAACACAATGATAGTATACTCGGTTGATTATGAGATTCCTCTTAAATCGTATCCTGGCCGAGCTTTCGTCAACACGGCACATTGGATTAGCAAAGCATCTATGAAACACCGAGATAAAAGAAAAAAAATTATCCATGTATAAAGCATGTACACTAAGGACGGTGGCATGATGTTGCCTTTCTTTTTTTATTTTTTATTCTCATTTTTGTGTTTGTTACTAGAGCACGTATGTCATAGAAGAGCCCGAGGAGATTGTGATGCCATAGCTTTCATTGATAGCAATTTTTGTGGATACGAGGAATTCTGGGGTTTCTTCTTAGCCACTCCATAATTTTATGTGAAAGGACCGGCAGGGGTGACTAGAGGCAAAATGTCAAAGTCTTTTTGGGCGCGCGATTTCTCTTTGGATGAATTGTCATCTCCACATAAGTAGGGTCATCGTCATTCATGGCTGCCAAATTCTAGGTGTATTGCCCTTTCTTGCACGGCTTCTAAGGGCTAGTCTAAGAAAGAAATTTCGTTGTGAACTCTTCAATTTCAGTGTCAATAACCAACCACCAATCAGATCAAAGGGGCAAATTTAGTTTTGACCCGAAATCTGATTCAAGATATCGCCTGACACAAACAAGGGAAAGACTTGGACATTTTGCGTGTCAATAACAGGCACATTCTATTGACCTACCCGCTTGATTTCCTCATGACTATGTATGTATGTCTTGCCGGAGATGTTCTGCAATTTCAACATATCGCTTAAGCCTCCCTGTTTTTTTTTTTAATGCATTCGTTTTACAAAAAATGATTGCTTATATTGTTTAGAAAAATTAGTCAACGGAAAATATTTTCATCATCGATAACAATCTAGCCTAACTATTTTCGTAGGCAATGAAAAAAATTTTGTTCATTTATTTTTGTAAGTGATATAAGCGATTATTTTTCAAAAAATATTTTTCAAATCACTCATTTTTTATGAAATGAAACCCTAAGTGATGTTAAGAGTTACGAGCAACTAGGCATTTTTTTTCAAAAGGGAAAAAAATGGTCATACATCGACAAGGTACATGCATGCCGTGATTGACCGTTCATGTGGTCATAATTGCACAATTGGTCCTTGTAAATGACATCTCATATTTTTTGCCTGCATAAGGACCAAACTTGAGAGACCCACGGGAAGGCTTTTGCGCATCTTGTAGATTGACTAATAAGAAGTTTCCAGCTGTATACGTAGTCTTGGAAACACCAAAATTAAGAGATGGTAATCATCGATTGAAAATATTTTTAGATTTTATATATCATGTTCAAGTTTATATGACAAAACATATGTGAATATGATAAATTACAAGCGAGCATAAATCTCTTAGGAACTATAGAAGCTCCGACAAACAGTGAACTCGTCGCGGCAAAAACATGGCGCTAAGAGATGGCCTTAGACTAGAATTAGCCAAATAAAATGACCCATTTACACGGATTCTTTGGCCCCACTTGCAAAGGAAGAACATCTGCATTTTGTTATTTATTTCTCTGTTCCAGATGTTATTAAAGACCTTTTGTATGTAGACTCCGCTGGGAGTACACATACTTCAGACCGATGAAACTTGACTTGTTTTTTTAATGTAGTTCTGTTATTTACGGAAGAAAAGAAGGGAAAAAAGCTTTATCTTTGGTAAATAGGTATTCATCATTCTTTGATTCCTTTCCAAACATTCGTTGTGCATTATCGCGTCAAAAGTTAATATCGATGTGTAAAAATTCCATTCCCGTTCTTCACTCCCAATGTATAATGACACTAGCATTTTAGCACGCGCGATGGCAGGTTACTTGAAGATCATGAATTTTGAATTCAAGTTGTTATAGTGCGGTCCAATTGTAAATGTTAATTATATAATATGATGTTTAGCGTGATACGGTGTGAAGAATACATTGATCGTACAAAACTTGTTAGCTCAAGTCATTTGTAATCTTGGTTGAGTTTCGATTTGGTCAATTGGTTTCATCCAAGTAATTAATCGATCAATTTTGTATTGAAAATAGCTAAGTAAGGATGAAAGCTTACTACGTGAAATACATGCATACGGTGAGTAAGGAATGAATGAACATCTTGGAAATTATAATTGTTTTTATTATTTTCCATGGAAGTTATATACTGTCCAACTATCATTTTAAATAATATAATATAATACTTAAGGAGTACTATTTTACGAATATCCACTATACATAAATATATATCTATATATATATATCTATTTTATCATTAATTACTTACTTGTTATAAAATTTCTATGGATCATAAGTGGTTAGGCCTTTCCTGTATTGGTTTTTTGCCTTCGTATACTCCAAGAGTCCATCCTAGTGCAATATCTTTAAGATGGTATTCTGTTTATAAGTTTGCGAAACAACAATGACATTTACGCTTAGATATATGATGCTGGAGTGCTGCATGTATATGAGATTGTCAAACTTTAGCTTTCCCGGAGAAATCATTTGGTTGATATACTTGTGTATCAAATTATGGGTAAATAAATTATTTATATTTGCTACCAAAAACCAACTCGTGTTTGGACATTTTTTTCTTATGTTTACCTCACTTGATCAGGGTAATTCATATTGTCAATAACATAAGCGTAAAAGATGGACTGAAGGAGATGATCTTTATGTTTATTCAATGTTTTTGACCAAACCAAATTTTAATTAAATTTATATTTAAATATAATTCATTATCAACTGATACTAATTTTTATATTTTTTCGAATATGTCCTTGTTAAAATTAATAGATTTTTTTCAACATCTAAGGCCTAATCTCAGAAAGCAATTCTTTATTGAACTCTTCAGTTTCAGTATCAGTGGCCTACCTCCAATCGGATCAAATGGGAAAATTTGATTTGTACGTAATTTGACTCAAGATATCACTTGATACAAATAAATGTAAAATTTAGACATTTTGGGTGTAAATAACAAGCACATTCTATTGGTCTAGCCGCTAGACTTCCTGATGAGTCACTTTTTTCATCGGTTCTTATAATTGAATCTACGATTAACATGAAAAGATGAGGAACTGACAAAGTCACATTCTATGTATGTATGTCTTGCCGTAGATGTTGTCCAATTTCAATAAATTTCCTAAGGCCCCCTGCATTTTTTTAATTAATGTTAGGAGTTATAAGCAAATAGTCATTTTATTTTCCAGAAGAGAAAAAAATGGTCACGCATCACAAGGTACAAATTGGATCGCATTCCCACTCATGGCGCAATTGATGGCTCATATTAGTTATTTTATTCCACCATCTAAAATATTTTCCCAAAGTCATTTCAACTTAGCTTCGCCAGCATTATATATATGTATCTCCTCCTATGTAAGAAACAGCGATAAGCAAAACAAAAATCTGAAGCTCTCGATCATGGACGCAAGAGCATCTTTTTACCTCCTCCTGCCTTTCCTAGTCCTCCTCGCAAGTAGGCACATTGTCATCATAATCTCTCTATTTTCAACTATTACAATTTTCTACATTAACATTACCTTCTTCCGAAACTAGATAATAAGATCCTAAGTTTTATTTGTTCTTTTTTTGGAGATTTATGGCTTGCATGCATGCTTGCAGGAGGAACCGGCGCAGTCACGCTCTCCTTCACCAACAACTGCCCCTACACAGTCTGGCCTGGGACGCTGACCGGCGGGGGCGGCGGGCAGCTATCCTCAACCGGTTTTGAGCTCGCCACAGGTGCATCATCCTCGATCAATGACGTCCCGGACACATGGTCCGGGCGGGTGTGGGGCCGAACGGGCTGCGCCACTGATGCCTCCGGTAAGTTTGTCTGCTCCACCGCCGACTGCGGCTCTGGCCAGGTGAGCTGCAATGGTGCAGGGGCAATCCCGCCGGCCTCCTTGGCAGAGTTCACTCTTGCGCCAGCAGGCTCCGGCCAGCAGGACTTCTACGACATCAGCCTTGTGGACGGTTTCAACCTGCCCCTCTCTGCAACCCCACAGGGCAGCGGCAGCGGGTGCAGCACCACCAGCTGCGCAGGCAACGTCAACTCCGTGTGCCCATCGGAGCTGGCGGTGCCGGGGTCAGATGGGAGCGTCGTGGCGTGCAAGAGCGCGTGCCTGGCGCTCAACCAGCCGCAGTACTGCTGCACCGGGGCGTACGGGACGCCTGAGACATGCCCCCCGACGGACTACTCGAAGATTTTCAAGAGCCAGTGCCCTCAAGCTTACAGCTACGCTTACGACGACAAGAGCAGCACTTTTACTTGCGCGGGTGGGGCTGATTATCTCATCACATTCTGTCCGTAACATATTCTCCTCTTTTCAGTACTTGAATGGACCATTTTCCTCTCCAAGGTGGAAAATATGAGGTCCATGGGTTGTCTCGGTTAGCCTGAAACTATTTGTATCCTCGTCTCTGGATTGAGAGATCATGCGAGTAGTTTCATTTTCCACTAGGAAAATTAAATGTAATCTGCGCAGAGAATAATGGATTATACAAAATAAGCAATGTACCAATAAATATTTGTTGCTTATCCGAGTGTTCCTGTGCCGATGATTAAATGAAAAAAATCAGCCGATTAGAGAATTGAATTGTGGAAGCCTCGACAATGCTATAGTAAGTGATTGATACGAGGAGGAAGCATATATCCAATTGTGTCTTTGGAATTACCATCCTTATATATATATTTTGACTTTGATACATTCACGAGTCATTTGAACTTAGCTTCCCCGACGTCCTTCATATATCTCCTCAATTATATGAGACAACGACGAACAAAACAAATCTCAAGCTCTCGATCATGGACGTGAGACAATCTTATATTATCTAGAGGCAAAATTCTATTTTGACTTTGATATGTTCTTTTAGTAACAATACAAGTAGTCACTACAACTCAGAATTTGAAGTCATTTATTTCCTAATTAGCAAAGCATGTATAGAACATCGAGATAAAAGATGATCCAAGTATGAAACAAGTACACTGATGACGGTGACATGATATTGTCTTCTTTATTTTTGTTTTTGTGTTTGTAGCAGAGCACGTATGTCATTGAAGAGCCAGAGGAGATTGTATTGCCATTGTTTTTTGGGTTAATACCACAAAAAATTCCAAATTGATATATTTGTTACAAATTTACTCTAAATCAATTTTTTGACCACAAAAAACGCCAAACTGATAAACCTGTGACATATTTACCCTCTGTTAGTTTTAGTTAAAATTTATTGTCAAATTTCTTTGTTAAATGACACGTTATAGTTGATGGATGTACCGATTTTGGATTTTACTCTTTGTTTTTCACATGTATACTAGTTTATGATTTTTCATGGTATTAATTTGATTTAACGGAGGGTGAATTTGTTACAAATGTACCAGTTTAAGGTTTTTGGTGATTAAAAAATTAGTTTGGGGTAAATTTATCACAGGTATACCGATTTAGGGTTTTTATTGGTCAAAAAATTAATTTTGGGTAAATTTATTACAGGTGTACCGGTTTAGATTTTTCATAGTATTAATCCAAGTTTTTATGAATAGTAATTTTTTGTGGATAGGAATTCTAGGGCTTCTTATTAGCCACTCTATAATTTTATGTGAAAGGACACGTGGGATTGACTAAAGGTAAAATGTCAAAGTCCTTTGGGCTCACTATTTTTCATTGGATGACCTGTCATCTTCACATAAGTAGCTGCGTCATCGTCATACGCAGCGGCCAAAATTTAGGTGTTTTTGTTTTTTATTTCACAACTTCTAAGACCTAGTCTAAGAAAGCAATTCTTTCTGTACTCGTCAGTTTCAATATTAATGACCTACCGTCAATCAGATCAAAGGAAAAATTTAATTTGTTTGTAATTTGACTCGCGATATGACCTCATACAAATAAGCAAAGAATTTGGACATTTTGAGCATAAATAATACGCACATTCTATTGGTCTAGCCACTAGACTTCCCGATGGGTCGCTGTTTCCATCGGTCCTTATAAGTGAATTAACGATTAACATGAAATATACTAACAAAGTTACAATTAAGATGAAACTTTCTACGTATGTATATATGTCTTGCCGTAGATGTTGTGCAATTTTAATATATTGCCTAATCCCCTGCATTTTTTGATTAATGTTAGGAGTTATAAGCGAATAGTCTTTTGGAAAAAAAATTGTCGCACATCAACAAGTTACAAATTAGTTGCAATTTGACCGAAAAAAAAACAAACAAATTAGGTCGCATTCACTCGCATACCGTGATTGATGGTTCATGTGCAGTCATAATTGCACAATTGGTCCTTGTAAATGATATCTCATATTTCTTTTCACATAAGGACCAAACTTGAGAGACCCGCAAGAAGACTTTTCCCCGTCTGTCAGATTGACGAATAAGAAGTTTCCAGCAGTATACATAGTCCCGGAATCACAAAATTAAAAGATCGTAATCATTGATTGAAAATATTTTTAGATTTATGTATCATCTCCAAATTTATAATGACAAATATACGTTGTCTTTGGTCGAAAATGACAAATATAAGTGATTACGACAAATTATGAGTGAGCATAAATTTCTCAAGAACTATAGAAGTCCCAATAAATGGTGAACACATCACAATAGAAACATGACGCTATGGCATTGCTATCTCCTTAGGCTCTTCTATGACCTACGTGCTCTAATAACGAACACAAAAACAAAAAAAAAGAAAACAAATGAAGGACAATATCACGTCAGTGTCATTAGTGTATATGCTTTATACTTGGGTCATTTTGATCTCGGTGTTTCCTACATACTTTGCTAATCCAACGGGTCGTGCTAATAGGAGCAGATTCTCATTGCATTTATCCTAAGCTTGAATCATGGACGTCACTAGGTGGAAATGGAGATTCTTTGCTGTGGGAGGGTGTGGAGTGCGACGAATTTAGCGGTTACATTGTTGGCCTCGACCTTAGTAGCATAACTTCTGCCGGTTTTTAATCTAATCTCGTGTGAAGAGAAATCAATTAAGGTGGGGAAGACGAGAAATGTGAGGATAAAATTCCAAAATCTTGGTATTTTTTTCTTCTCACAACTTCTAATGCCTAACAAAGTACTTATATATGAATTCTTCAGTTTCAATGTCGATGACCTGCCTCCAATCAGATTAAAGAGGCAAATTTATTATGTAATTTATTATGTATGCGAAATCTGACTCGAGATATCACATAATACAAACAACATAAAAACATAGATATCTTGGGTATTAATAATAGGGTTAATACTATAAAAAACCTCAAACCGGTACACCTACAACAAATTTACCCTCCGTCAGTTTCCGTTAAATTTTACCGTCAAATTGCTGAGTTGGATGACACGTCACAGTTAACGGGTGTACCAATTTAATGTTTTACCCATTTGTTTGTCACAAATTTACCAGTTTATGATTTTTGTGGTATTAATCCAATTTAACGAAGGGTAAATTTATTACAAATGTACCAGTTTGGGGTTTTTAGTAGTCAAAAAATTAGTTTGGGGTAAATTTATCATAGGTGTACCAGTTTGGGATTTTTTGTGATCAAAAAATAGTTTTGGGTAATTTGTCACAAATGTACAAATATGAGGTTTTCGTGGCATTAATCCTAAATAATAGGCACCTTCAATTGGTCTAGCTGCTTGACTCCTTTATGGATCAACGTCCCCACAGCTTCTTATGAATGAATCAAAGATCAACATGGGAAACCTTACTGATCAAGTTAAGATCAATCATACTATTTGTTAGAGGTGGCAAAATGGGTCTAAAACCCATATATTAACCCACATTTAATAATACGGATCATAAATGGGTTGCCTTTAGTTTTAAACATAAGCTTAATTGGATCGATTACTTAATAATTTAATATGTCTTAAATGAATTTTAAATGAATCATAAATATGTAAATAGACATTAGTTTTCAAAAGTTCCACAAGGAAAAAATTAGGTCGCATTCTCATGCATCTCGTGATTAATGGTTCATGTGCACTCATAATTGAATAGTTGGTCCTCTTTAATGGCATGTCATATTTTTTCCACCAAAAGACCAATATTGAAACGCCACCGAAAAGTCTTTTGACCATCTGTTTTTCGTTGATGAACGGGAGTCATTCTCCATTCCTTAGGAATATTCCTAGTTCTAGAATCACGAAAACGAAAGATGGCCACCATCCATTTAAAAATATTTTCAGATTTTGTACATCATTACCTCGTTTTATGTAAAAATAATGATACAATATACGTGATTACGATAAATTTCTGTTGACACCTAAAATTAATTAGATTATCGATAACTGAAATCAATAAATAAATAAATAAAAAATGTCGAAAGATGACGTAACCTGTACTAGGTGACTCATGCAAGCAAAACAGTTGGCAAGTACTGGCAGTTATAGGCGGGAAATTTGAAATTTGGAGAGAATTGGTAAGTGAGCACAAAAAATCGAGGACGTCGACGAAGAGAAGGATAGGTGTCAAGCCAGAGAGAGCTCGACGAAGGTATCTGCTTCGGAAGGACAGGTGTCAAACCAGAGAGAGCTCGACGAAGGTCCTTGCTTTGGAAAGGCAGGTGTCAAGCCAAAGAGAGCTCGACGAAGGTTCTTGCTTTTGAAGGACAGGTGTCAAGCCAGAAAGAGCTCGATGAGGGCCCTGGCTCCAGAAGGACAGGTATCAAGCCAAAAGGGACTTGACAAAGGTCTTTGCACTAAAAGGACAGGTGTCGGGCTGAGATGAGCTCGATGACGATTTTCATCCCAGAGGACAAGTGAGCTCGATGACGGTTATCATCCCGGAGGACAAGTGAGCTCAATGACAGTTATCATCCTGGAGGACAGGTGTTAGAATTAGATGAGCTCGATGCCAGTTATCATCCCAGAAGACAAGTAAGCTCGATGATGGTTATCATCCAGAAGGACAGGTGTCAGAATTAGATGAGCTCGATAATGGTTTTCATCCCAGAAGACAGGGGTAAAGGTTCGATGACGGTTTTCATCCTAGAAGACAGGCATAAAAGGTTTGATGACGGTTACCATTCCAGAAAACAGGAGTCAGAATTAGGAGAGTTCAATGACGGTTATCATCCCGAAAAGGACAGGTGGCAACATAGGAAGAGCTCAAGGACGGTTATCACTTTGGACAAAAGATAATATCGATAGCAGTTGGCCGACAGATATCATTAAATGAACGGTGAAGATGAAATCAACAATGGGTATCGAACACAATACTAAAACAGTTACTAAGCCTAACATTATAAATAGCATTCGGCTGCCAACATAAGCCCTCCGCGCATACAAACCAAAATGCTATCTTTTTATCCTTACTTTCCAGTTTCGTACTTTCAGTTTCTGTAGCTGTAACTGTTTATGTTCTTAGTTAGTAGCTTTGTAATATCATGTCGATAAACTTTGGACGCCGCCAGTAATTGGACGGATTCGTCTGAGTACTCTATAAAATTCGAGTCAAATATTATCATCGTGTGAAATTTGTGTTATCAATCAAGACAATCAGATCCTTTGTTCACGCTTGGATCACTCATGTCCGGAATTAG